TTTTTAAGACAGAGTTTCACTCTTGTTGCCCAGGCTGGAGTGCAGTGGCATGATCTCGGCTCGCTGCAACCTCTGCCTCCCAGGTTAAAGTGATTCTCCTGTCTCAGCTTCCTACGTAGTTGGGATTACAGGCACTCGCCACCATGCCAGATAATTTTTGTGTTTTTAGTAAAGACGGAGTTTCACCACCATGTCGGTCAGGCTGGTCTCAAACTCTTGACCTCAGGTGATCCACCCACCTCAGCCTCCCTAAGTGCTGGGAGTACAGGTGTGAGCCACCGTGCCCAGCCCACCTGGGGATATTTTTTAAATCCCAATGCCCAGGTCACACCCATACCAGTTACATAAGACTCTAGGGTCTTGGAGTTAGGTTTTAGTAATTTTTTCAAACTTCCCAGGTATTTTATACAAATCACCTGGGGAACGTCCTTAAATTTCAGATTTGGATTCACAGATCTGGGTTGGGGTCCCAATTCTGCAATTCTTTCAATTTTTTATAACAAGATCTGGCTATGTTGCCCAGGCTGGAGTGCGGTGGCCATTCACAGGCCTCCCAGGTAGCTGGGCCTAGAGGCCAGTGCCCAGCCTGATTCTGCGTTTCTAACAAGCATCAGATGATACCAACCCTACTTGTTCACTGATCACACTTAAAGTAACAAGGGTCTAGACCAGGGGTCGGCAAATAATGGTACATGGTGACCAAATCGTAATTTTTACCTTCTTAAAGGGCTTTTAAAAAAATCCAAACAATAGTAAAAGAATTACAGCATTAGTTAAAATTCAGATGTCAGCGTTCATGAATAAAGTTTTATTAGGACGAAGCCAGGCTTGTTTATTTACATATTATCTGGGGCTGCTTCACACATCAATGTCAGGGTTGAGTAGTTTCGGTAGAGACTGATATGGTTTGGCTATATGTCCCCACCCAAATCTCGTGTTGAATTGTAATCCCCAGTGTTGGGAGAGGGACCTGGTGGGAAGTGATTGGATCATGGGGGCAGTTTCCCCCTTGCTGATCTCACAATAGTGAGTTTCACAAGGTCTTGTTGCGAAAAGTATATACTTCACTGCTCTCCCTCTCCTGCTCCACCATGTGACGAAGGTGTTTGCTTCCCCTTTGCTTCTGCCATGATTGTAAGTTTCCTGAGGTCTCCCAGTCATGCTTCCTGTTAAGCCTGCAGAACTGTGAGTCCATTAAACCTCTTTTCTTCATAAATTTTCCAGTCTCAGATAGGTCTTTATAGCAGTGTGAGAATGGACTAACAGAGACCATACGGCTGGCAAAGCTAAAGTATTTCCTTATCTGGCTTTTGACAGGAAAAGTTGCTTCCCCTTGGTCTAGAGAAGCACTGTCCAATAGAAATATCATGCAAGCACATATGATGCTTTAAATTTTCTAGTAGACACATTATGCTTTAAGGGTTAATTCTAGGCCTCCTGGAATTAACCTGATCTGTTTTGCTAAAGTTTTTGCAAGGCACTGCCCTGGTCAAGGCATGAAACACAGTGATTAAGGAAACAGGGATTATAGTGCTGCCTTGTAGCCAGGGGTTTGAAGAGCTTGGGGGTGGTTTGTACCAGCCTTTCACGGTTATTTATAACAATTAAATTGATTGTTTGCTCCTGGTCTTGGTGAGACCAACTCCACCAAGAGGGTCCTGCTATTGAGGCTATTTGTGACAGGAATATGCCTACGTGACAAAGTATGAAAAAAACTTGAGATGCCATGTTGGACCGTGATTCCAAGATACTCTATAAACACATCACTGGTTCTTGCTCTGGGCGGGGATAGTGTGTCCAGCCACAGCCCTTACAAAAGGGAGGATTGTGGGAGCCTGCACCTAGTTCTCCAGAGCCTTTGCTCTGAAATACCCCATTGGCCAGGACGCATATTCTTTTTTTTTTTTTTTTTTTGAGACGGAGTCTCGCTTTGTGGTCCAGGCTGGAGTGCAGTGGCGTGATCTCGGCTCACTGCAAGCTCCACCTCCCGGGTTCACACCATTCTCCTGCCTCAGCCTCCCGCGAAGCTGGGACTACAGGCGCCCGCCGCCACGCCCGGCTAATTTTTTGTATTTTTAGTAGAGACGGTGTTTCACCGTGTTAGCCAGGATGGTCTCGATCTCCTGACCTCGTGATCCGCCCGCCTCGGCCTCCCAAAGTGCTGGGATTACAGGCGTGAGCCACCGCGACATATTCTTAATTTAATACCATTGCTGTATTGAATCGTTTTCTTGTAATAAACAAGGTTTGTAAGCATTGTCATTTTGGGTACTGTGACTTTCCTTTAGGCATAGAACTCTGTTGAAACTGCCACTGTTAATGCACATATTATAAAAAGCAAAAAAAGATGAATATATATATATATAGTCTTTCTCTGGTCCTTTATCCAGGATAATTTTAATAATATATTTTACTTGCCCCAGTAGCATATCCAAAATATGCTGACATGTAATCAATATGAAAAAATTATTAGATATTTTACACTTTTTTTTTTCACTCTTACTCTTCAAACTCCAGTGAGTGAGTGAAATTTACAGCATATCAGTCCAGGTGTGGTGACTCATGCCTGTAATCCCAGCACTTTGGGAGGCCAAAGTGGAAGAATCATTTGAGCCCAAGAGTTCAAAACCAGCTTGGGCAACGTGGTGAGACCCCATCTCAACAAAAAATATAAAAATTAGCTGGGTGTGGTCGTGCATGCCCATGGTTCCTGCAACTTGGGAGACTGAGGCAGGAGGATCACTTGACCCTAGGAGGTCGAGGCTGCAGTGAGCTGTGATCCTGCCACTGCACTCCAGCCTGGGTGATAGAGTGAGACCCTGTCTCAATAAACAAACAGCATAACTCACTTTGGGCTAGCAACATTTCAAGTACCTAATGGCCATATGTAGCTAGTGGCCACCGTATTGGCCAGTGCAGTGGAGACCAGGATGACCCATAGTTGTACATCCACTTTCCCTTCTTGAGCCCATCGCTTCCCTTCCTGGGTCGTTGTTAATCCCAGTGTCCTTTAAACACGCAGTGCCCCCAGGCAACCACAAATCTCTACCAATCAATTGGAATTGTGTGTCAGAAGAAACTGGCTGACCCTCCTCGTATAGATGGCTTAACAAGAAGTCAGGGAAGTGCAAAATCAGATTGGACTCTATTGGTCGAGGGATTTTCTCTGGAGGATGTGGCTGGAACATTCTAAAAGGGAGAAGAGCAAGAAAAGGCGCAAAGCTGGAACTGTGGGGCAGGGTGAGGAGGGAGAAAAGCACGTTGGCACCCTGACACCATAAACAGGTGATATTTTTAGGCAGGGAAATTACAGAGTGAACTTGATGTTTTAGGAAGATGAACTTGACAGCTGCGAGTAGGATGAATTGGCTAGAAGGATTGGAGGCACTCCCAGATGAAGAACTATTTAAATTGCCCAAGAAAAATTACATGCATTTATTTCTACTTTTTTTGGTGCTTATCGTCCATCATTCCTTCTTTTTGAGATTTAAGTGTAAAGGGATGTTGTGAGCTCTGGTTTGTTGGTTATTCATTAATCTACTCATTAATCATGAGAGATTTGTCCATGATACTAGTTGTTCCATTTCCTTTAGGGGATAATAACTTTGCGTTATGAATTGCACCTTTATCAAATTAAGAGAAAATGAGAAAGCAGCTTTGTGATAACAACTTTGAGACCAACTAAAATAAAATAACTGACGGGGCTGGTGGCTCACACCTGTAACCCCAGCACTTTGGGAGGCTGAGGCAGGCAGATCACCTGAGGTCAGGAGTTCGAGACCAGCCTGGCCAACATAGCAAAACCCCGTCTCTTCTAAAAATACAAAAATTAGCTGGGTGTGGTGGTGCGTGCCTGTAGTCTCAGCTACTTGGGAAGCTGAGGCAGGAGAATCACTTGAACCTAGGAGGCAGAGGTTGCACTGAGCCGAGATCGTACCACTGCACTCCAGCCTGGGTGACAGAATGAGACTTCATTTCAAAAAATAAGAAAAGAACTATTTGTTTAAATACAAATATTGATGAAATATTTTTCCCTTTTAAAAAGTAATGCGGTAAAATGTATGTGTGAGTTATGTATCAATAAAGGTTTTGTTGTTTTGTTGTTGTTGTTGTTTTGTTTTGTTTTGAGATGGAGCCTCGCTCATGTTGCCTAGGCTGGAGTGCAATGGTGCAATCTCGGCTCACTGCAACCTCTGCCTTCCCAGTCCAAGTGATTCTTCTGCCTCACTCTCCCTAGTAGCTGGGACTACAGGCATGCACCACCATGCCTGGCTAGTTTTTGTATTTTTCTTAGAGACAGGGTTTCACCATATTGGCCAGGCTGGTCTTGAACTCCTGACCTCAGGTGATCCACCCGCCTTGGCCTCCCAAAGTGCTAGGATTATAAGCGTGAGCCACCACACCCAGCCTGTTTTGTTTTTAAGAGCTAGGGTCTTGCTCTTTCACCCAGGCTGGAATGCAGTGGCACCATCATTGTCCACTACAGGCTCCACCTCCCAGGCTCAAATGATCCTCCCACCTTAGCCTCCCAAATGCAGTGGCTCATGCCTGTAATCCCAGCACTTTGGGGAGCTGAGTCAGGAGGATCACTTGAGCCCAGGAGTTCATGACCAGCCTAGGCAACATCAAGAGACCTCATCTCTACAAAAAAATTTAGAAATTAGCCAAGCGTGGTGGCATGTGCCTGTAGTCCTTGCTACTGAAGAGACTGAGGTGGGAGGATCACTTGAGCCCAGGAGTGAAGGCTGTAGTGAGCTATGATTGTGCCACTGCACTCCAGCCTGGGCAACAGTACAAGACCCTGTCTAAAAAAATTTTAAAACCCAGTGTTTAGGATGATGAAAATGTTCTGGAACTACATGGAAGTGGTGGTTGGCTACACAACATTGCAGATGTACTAAATGCCACTGAATTGTTCACTTTAAAACGGTTAATTTGGCCGGGCGCGGTGGCTCAAGCCTGTAATCCCAGCACTTTGGGAGGCCGAGACGGGCGGATCACGAGGTCAGGAGATCGAGACCATCCTGGCTAACACGGTGAAACCCCGTCTCTACTAAAAAAGACAAAAAACTAGCTGGGCGAGGTGGCGGGCGCCTGTAGTCCCAGCTACTCGGGAGGCTGAGGCAGGAGAATGGCGTGAACCCGGGAGGCGGAGCTTGCAGTGAGCTGAGATCCGGCCACTGCACTCCAGCCTTGGCGACAGAGCGAGACTCCGTCTCAAAAAAAAAAAAAAAAAAAAAAAACGGTTAATTTATGTTATGTGAATTTCACCTTAATTAAAAACAAAAGTAATGCAGGACTTCTGCTTTGGGGATGGAATAGACATTTTTTTTGTTTTTTTTCTATTCCTTTCGATAAGTACAACTGTAAACCCTGGACCTAAGAAAACTGAAAGGGGGAGAAACGAGGAAGACCAGCCAGGGACCTCAGGACCCGGGAGACGACACAGTGGTGCATTCCCTGGAGTTTCTTTTTGCCTCACACATCCCAGACATGGAGCTCAAGAAGCCAGCAACCCAGAAACACCAATGGACACAGATGCAAAAATCTCCCCAACAAAAACTTCTCTCTCTAACCAAAGGACCAGGAGAGAGTCAGCCTAGCAGATAGTAACTGCTCTGCTCCAGCCAAGCACCACAGAAAACACAGTGGGCACCTGTATGAATCAGGGTTCTCTAGAGGGACAGAACTAATAGGATGGATGTATATACAAAGGGGAGTTTATTGCAGAGTATTGACTCACAATCACAAGGTGAGGTCCCACAATAGGCAGCCGTCTGCAAACCAAGGAGCAAGGAAGCCAGTTCGAGTCCCAAAACCTCAAAATACGGAAGCCTACAGTGCAGCCTTCAGTCTGGTTGAAGGTCCAAGAGTCTCAAAGCTGAGGAACTTGGAGGCTGATGTTCAAGGGCAGGAAGCATCCAGCACAGGAGAAAGATGGAGGCCAGAAGACTCAACCAGTCTACTCTTTCCACATTCTTCTGCCTGCTTTTTTCCTGGCCGCACTGGCAGCTGAGAAGATTGTGCCCACCCAGTTTGAGGGTGGGTCTGCCTTCCTCAGCCCACTGACTCAAATGTTAATTCCCTTTGGCATCTCCCTCGCAGACACACCCAGGAACGATACTTTGCACCCTTCAGTCCAATCAAGTTGACACTCAGTATTGACCATCATAGCACCTCTATGCCAGTAAAGGTGGAGGGGAAGCCTGGACTCACCCTTGTCAGGTTGTCACCAAGTGCCTCAGTCTCCCCTCCCAGCTGCAGTGGAATTAGTGGAGGCACAGGGAAGCCAGAGCTCCCACCTCCACCCAGCATAAAACTCCTCAAACTGGCTGGGCGCGGTGGCTCACGCCTGTAATCCCAACACTTTGGGTGGCTGAGAGGGGCGGATCACAAGGTCAGGAGATTGAGACCATCCTGGCCAATATGGTGAAACCCCATCTCTACTAAAAATACAAAAATTAGCCAGGCGTGGTGGTGGGCGCCTGTAGTCTCAGCTACTCGGGAGGCTGAGGCAGGAGAATGGTGTGAACCTGAGAGGCAGAGCTTGCAGTGAGCCAAGGTCACACCACTGCACTCCAGCCTGGGCGACAGAGCAAGACTCCGTCTCAAAAAAAAAAAAAACCAAAAAACCTATTTGTAAAAATACTTTATGTGGTAGGAACAAAACTTACGTTCATGACATACTTTTAAACAGAAGTTTTAAAATGGGCCAGGTGTGGTGGCTCACGCCCGTAATCCCAACACTTTGGGAGGCCAAGACATGCAGATCACGAGGTCAGGAGATTGAGACCATCCTGGCTAACAGTAAAACCCCATCTCTACTAAAAATACAAAAAATTCGCGGGCATGGTGGCATGCGCCTGTAGTCCCAGCTACTCAGGAGGCTGAGAAGGAGAATAGCTTGAGCCCAGGAAGCAGAGGTTGCAGTGAGCCGAGATCGCACCACTGCACTCCAGCCTGGGTGACAGAAGCGACAGAGCGAGACTCCATCTCAAAATAAATAAATAAATAAATAAGCCGGGCATGGTGTTGTGCACCTGTAGTCCCAGCTACTTGGGAGGCTGAGGTGGGAGGATCGCTTAAGCCCAAGAGGTCAAGGCTTTAGTGAGCTGTGATCATGCCACCACACTCCATCCAGAGCAACAGAGACCCTGTCCCAAAGAAAAAAAGGTATGTGTGGAAAATAGAAACACTTAGGGCGTGATCAGTTCCTCTGGCAGATTGCATTTTGTTTCTTATTTCTATGCATCACATGGTTTTATAAAATCATGAGCCTACTGCATGTACAATTTTATACTTTATATTCTTTTCTCTGCCACTATAAACTTTAAAAAAATATTATTTTTAATGATCGTGTTTTTATTTTTAATGATTTTTTATTTTTAATGAAAAGCCATGCAAGCTCAGGTTCTAATTCTGCTTCTGTGTATAGGTTTATGAGTTGGACTGAATTTTGTAATCTCCCTGAGTCCCTTTTCTTATCCACAAAATGGGGATAATATACCCACATCAGTGGTTTCTGTGAGGATCAGATGAGATGATAGATGTAGGCAATCCTTAGCCCAAAGAAAATCCTCAAAACTCTTAGGTCACCCCCTGGAGCTATTCTGCACACTTAGACTGTGCTAATATTTTTTCACTAAGCTTTTTCCATATTTGGAGTTATTCCCTTAAGATACATTCCCAGGAACAGATTTGCCGGATCCAAGGGAATGAAGGGAACATGTTAAAGCCTCCCGTTGCAAATTGCCACACTGCATGCATTTCAAAAGGTCTTCCTCACATATCCCCATTCCCACCAGCAGCGGATGCACGTCCACTTTACTATGTCCTCCCAGCACGGGGCAATCTTACTGCTGAAACCGTGTTGCTCATCTGATAGGTTAAAATGGCATCTCACTACCCACATTGGTGTTTCTTTGTTTGTGTGATTGAACCTTAAGAGAACCAGTTAGAAGGCTGCAGTCGCAAATGGAGTCTGGGATTGTCCTCTTGGGCTAAGTGTGCAAGGCCCCGAAGAGGTCAGGTGGTGGCACTAGAACGTAACAGATGTGACGGACTGTCATGCTTCATTGACTCTGGAGCTAGGCTAAGGAGTGTTTCCCAGTGCCCACGTTGGTTTCTTGTTCAGAATAAAGTTCTGATAGCTTTCAACACATTGGAGAAGTCACTTTTTTGGATCATAA